AGTTGGCCACATAGCCCTCGTCGTTGGTGCCTCGGACATTGAAACGCGTTCCAGCGCGCTCACAGCTCAGCCGCGAAATGATGGCCGCTCGTGCCTGCTTGGCGCCTATGTACACGGTGCGCACCTCCACGGAGCCGCACATGGTCTGCAGCAGCCACGACTGGCAGTCAATGCCGAAGCGCATCAGGTGAATGTGCATCATGCGGTTCCAGAAGAAACGATTGTCCGTCTCCGACGTCTGGTGGCGCCGCTGCGCACACAGCGTAATGTCAAACTTGCTGTTGGACGAGTTGGAGCCGCTGGCCGCGCCCGACCCAGACGCCGACGGATTTGAGTGCGCGAAATAGAAAGTGCCCGAATTGAGCAGCTTGCGCACTTCGCTAATCTTATCCTCGTTCAGCACCGCATTCTGCAGCGAAACGAATGTGGTTTGCGTTATTCGAAATATTTCCACATCGCCAATTTTGCCCATCGATACGCAGCCCGTGACGAGCACCAGAAAGAGCACAGTGCTCTCGCCGGCATTCAGCTGCAGTACGCCCAAACAGCCATAGGCATCGCACACCTGTTGGCGAGTGTAAATATAGATTCGAGTGTTATTATTATAATTATGGCAAATGTGCATATATATAAATAATTGTTATGATAGAATCGCACCAAAAGGAACTAGATATATATGTATGTAAATAATAAATAATCTATTTTTATATACACTATAAATAATAGTAAACTTATGAAATATTTAAAAATTAAAAAAGATAGAAATGGGCAAAAATTCATATTTCGTATTATTGTCTTTTTAATTTAAATTTATTTATTTTTTAAATTTATATTTTTTTAAATTTAAAATTTTGTTGAAACTACAAATATTATTAATAAATTTATAAATTTAATGTTAGAAAATAATAGAAAATCCAAAACATATTTTAATTTAATTATTAAATATTCATTCAATTTTCAGCTATAATTATTGCTAAAATTAAAAATAACTAAAGTAAGCAATTTATATAATAATTGCATTACGTATATTTTTTATTAAGCATATACATACGTAATGCAATCAATATATAAAATGTCTATTGGTATATGAATAGATATGTGGGATAGCGAAGACAAAACTGTTTCTTATTTTCCCCTTTAACATAAATTAATAATTGAGGGCAATTAAAAACTAATTGAGTTACAACGGCTCTTGCTTGTGTATATAATATATAATTATATACAAAAATAAATATATGTATATATGTATAGTTTTAGTTTGTCACAAAATGTGCATTCACATGAATAGAGTGTCTTTGTTATTAAAGCTTATCAAAATGTGCATTTGGAATATATGTATATATATATATATATGTACATACATATATGAATGTATGGAGTATTCCGTCATTTGATACACCTACCTTTGTATACTGCTTGCGTATGACATTTTCCTGCTGCGTCAGTAGCGCACAGACATGGGATTCGAAGAGGATGCAGTCGGTCTTGTTGCGATGCTCCAGCAGAACGCTATGGGGCGAGGGCGGTATTGACTTTTCCAGCACGCGTATCACCTTGGACATCGCCATCGTGTTGTTCCAGTGCCAATCAGCGTTGGGGATAAACTAAAATTTCACTGGTTTGTGCCACTTCAACGCTGCTCAAACAGCGGCCAAAGCATCTGCAAGTAAACATGCACACACACACACATAAATACACACGCAGCGGAAGCACAAAATTTGTATCGTAAGATTTCTTGTGTACATTAATAAAGACAAATATGCATAAAATAATTATCCAAAACTGATGAGCCGTGTTAACAGCCAATTGGCAAACATTAAATGTACGATAAACAAATGCAAACACCGATTGGCAAAGAATTTTCTCCAATACGCCCCCGTTACAATAGCCGCCAGCTGGTGCACACACACACACATCATCACATCCACTATTTACATGTATCTGCCGTTGGCTGATAAAATTGTATAGATTTTTCACATTCCAATACAGTGCAAGAGCTTTTGGCATTTGTTAATTCAAATATGCTTCACAGCAATAAACTGCTACGAAATGCTACTTTGTAGAGTAGCCAACACTTGTTAATAACTGTTAATGGAGCTTTGCGGACAAGTAATACCTTTTTTTTGCGACAATTTAATTGCAATTTTAGTACTTGTATTCAATCGTTCGGAACCAAGACAAATAACTCCATGAGCTGGAGAGCTGAATAAATGAACGTATCCCTGGATTGCGCTCAACTAGTTCAGGTTCGCAAAATCGAACCTCTGTAACTGTTACTGTTAACATTCAAATACTACGGCCACAGACTGTTAAGCTTTTAAACAAAATGACGAATGGTAAACAGCTGAGAGCAATGTAAACAAGAAATTAAACGAAAGTAGGAAGTATTCAAATATTTTACGTTTGAGTGTACCTAAAATTTAATAGAGGCTCCAAAATTAACAGGTTTTAAGCTCTTCAGTAACCAAATCGATATTGCAGTATAATTGTATGTTAAAAGCTAGCCGAAAGTAATCGATTGATTTATTTTATTCTTGGCGTTCGCAAAAAACGTCTTATTTGAATGCGATTAATTTATTGTTATTATTATTTTAGATTAGAATAAGTACTTGAGATAGGAATTCTATTTATAAAGCATATGAATCTGTAAGGCATTGTTTGTAGCACGAGCAAAACGGACTTGAACTTTGCACAAGTTGTAATCGTCATGCCAACATATGTATAGTTTGATAAAATATTTAGTAATTTGTAGTTGTATTTCTAGCTTAGACTGTTATCTAAGTCCCAACGATTTTGTTTGATCATAGCATAAAGCCCATTTACTTTTTGTTTTATTGATAAGAAACAGTGCACGCAATTTTCAGTACATGATGAGTTCGTTAAGGGCGGAAGCCTTTTTTATGTATTGTATATTCATTATTTTTCATTATTATATACTTTTGTTTCTATCTAATGAGGGGAATTTTGAGGGCTTCTTTCAGACATGCCGTTGCCCATTGAATCCCTCAGATATTACCTCGATCATTTCAATACACTTGATAGATGTTAATTGAGGAGCCCCCGAAAAGCTCAATCAAAATATCTTATGTCCAGCCAGAAGTCACATCGAACGATCCACTCAACAACACATATGACTCACGATAATAATGAGTGCGTCTTATCATACAAAAAATAAAAATATATATGCATATATATATGTATGTATATGTAAGCAAACAATTGCTACATACGCACAGTCTTGAATGAAAATAAAAGCTACTATAGCACTACGTAATGCATGAGTATATATACATATACATATATGTATATGTATATATATATATATATAGATATATTTACTTTTGGTATATTGTTGAATTCTCATTGTTTGTTTATTTGATTCACTAATGTTAAGTCTAGATTACAAATATTTTTAGAAAATACTTATTTTGTATGCTTTTGTTAACGTTTGCTTAGTTTTATTTTTTAAGCAAATCAAAGCAAGTCAAAAAAAAATAATAATAATAATAATAAAAAAATTTGAATTCTTTGAACACACGGCAAAAACGCATTTTTTATTTTTTATTTAAAAACTACAAAAATTAAATAAAAATATTTAAAGCATATATATATAGTTATATATGTATGTATATCTATTGCATAATTTCTTAATTAACTTTATTTTAAACTAAATTGTTTGTATTAGTATTTGGTTTTACAAAAACCTTCAGTTTATCATTGATCTTATTTGGTAAGTAATTGCGCTTGATTATTGATACATCATATATATTATATATATTTATGTGTGTGTATGTATGTAAGTATATGCTAGCACTTAATTATGTGTGCTTACTTTGCTTTGGAGTTCTTCCCAACCTGCTCTCATATCAGACCAATTTAATTTCAACGTTTCTATTGATAAGAAATCAAAGCAAAGATATCAATAAATTAATTTATATACATACATATTTATATATACATATACATATATGTATAGTATATTTATGTATGATCACAAACTGTAGAAATCTAACTGTCCCAGGTTCATGAAATACAGTAGCCCAAGGTAGAGCTAACAAATTTTTATGTGGCGCCTCGTGACCATTGATAAAAAAAAAGCAAAGAGTAATAAAAATAATACAAAGACCCATCCAATGCCGCAGAGACTCACCTCCTATAAGCATGTAATCTATGTGCATTTGCACACATACTAAAATAGTTTCAGCTATTAATCTCTTGTTTCAATAGCTCGCCTTTATCTCTCATTCTCACTGCCCTTCCCATTTCCATTTCCATTCCCATACCCAAACCCCGTCTCAGTCCCATTCCGTGTGCTTTGCAACTGATATGGCTCTCTAATCTGCTCATTCGTTCAATTTATAAATATGTTCTCGAATCGCTTTAGCTGTAGCTGTTGCTGTTGCTGTTGCCGAGCTTGTGTCTGCTCGCTTGTTATTTGATTTTATTGGATGCATGCTCTCATATAGGCAATACTTGTTTATGTGGTACATTCAATACTGAGGATCGAGATAAGCAATACGCCTATCAGCTGCAATGACAGCAAAATACTCTCGCTCTGCCAAGAATATACAAATGTAGAATATATGTATATTGTATATATGCGATATTACATGTTGACTATGGCAAGATCTAGATCTTCTAGATCTTACCTATGCAAACTATATGAAATAAAAGAAAACTTGGTGTAGGTGTACGTACTTCCCGATCGATTTTTAAGCCTATGTCAATTGATTTGGACAGCGTAGCCCCGCCCACTTTCAGTTCGCAATTGTCTAATGTGCGATAAGAAATACGCATTATGATGAGTCAGCTGAGAGTTATTTCCCAGAGCTGTCAGAGCTTGTGCAACCTGACACAATCGTAATACACTATAGACTGAATCCAGTTGTCTGACTCATCGGAATCAGAATCCCTTTATCATCTAACAAAAGAAATGCGGGCTCTAAATCAAATGACAAACGATTGACAATCAAATCAAAAAACGAAAGTAAATAAACTCATTTCTAATGTAAATTACATTTATTCGATGGCGTTTTTAGCGAAGCATATTTACAGAGCGTGAAGCGGGTAGAAATTAATAGAATAGGGACAGATCGTTAAGAGTTAAAGTAAAGTAAATCGAACAAAAAAATATATGTGTGTGTATATCGTTTTGCTAGGCAAATCATAATAATAAATAGCTAATTAGATAATTACAAATATCGAATTACAAAATAGCAATAACAAAATCTAATCTAAAGAGCTCCCTCTTTCTCTCTGTTGCTCTCCCTCTCTCTCTCTCTCTCTCTCTCTCTTTCAATCTTCGATCAACTACAAAAATGTACAAACCGGCGCAACTTAGTATAATTATATCTTATAGATCTCTACAGCATAGATGCCTAAAGATAAATGGTCAACTTATTATTAAGTTTGGTTCTAGAAATCAACAAAATGTTTGCACATTGCTACCGTTAAAGCTTCTTCTTGTTGTTGTTGTTTTTGCTGTTGTCAGTTTAAGAGTGAGCGTGTGTGCGAGTGTGTGTGTGTGGGTGTGGGTCTGAGAGCAAATCTCGTTCTGAACCTCGTATGCCTGCCTCTCGCCTCATTGTGGATGCTGCGTATTATTAGCCTAGGGCGCACAGCAGCAGAGAGCTAGCAGCTCATTGGACTCACTTAACTTAAAGACTTACTTAAAATTAAAGTTTATGTAGTGACTAAGGGGTTTTTGTTTAGGCTAGTAATAATACTACTAACATTGACTGTAGCTCCACAGTGTCGCAGTCCGCTGAGTCCCTAACGAAAGTACAATTACGCATATAACAAACAAATTTGAACTAGCTGCTGCTACGAGATCAGCAATCGCTGTTTGGCTGCCGCGCTCAGCGTGCCCAGTCCCGCGCCCTTTGTCGTGTTTGTTGTTGTTGTTGTTGCTGAACTTGATGCGGATGCCGACGCCGACGCCGCCGCCGCTGCTGCTGCAGCGGATGATGATGATGACGACGACGATAATGATGATGCTGATGATGTTTTTGATGCCGCCAATAACGTGGGCGCCGGCTGCAGTGGCGCTGTTAGCGAATCCGTTGCAGGTGAATTAAGCGGCAATTCGTAGGCAATGCCACCCCAGTGCAGCTTAAAGGTGCGCGTCCGCCAACGTATGGCCGGATTCCACAGGGCGTGCAGAAAGAGATACGGCCCGGTCAGCTCCCGGAACAGCCAGCCGATGACAAACTCGAACTTGCCGAACGGCATCGAGCCGTGCTGCACAATCGACAACAGCAGCCAGTCGGACAGAAGCCAGCACAGAATGTGCACCAAGTAAAACCCCAGCGGATCCCACTTGAAGAGCAGCGACGCCGACCACGCGGCCAATGCACCCAGGATCATGCACTCGGACAGCGGCTCCAGCAGAATTGTCGTTGGCACCATGGCAACGCGCAGCTTCGCCCAGCGTATGAGTCGTGCCTAGAAAAGGAAAAATTACAAAATATTTATTATACACAAATATTCAAGTTAAGCAATTAATGGTATTGTAGAACGCGAAAATCATTAATAAATACATGCTAAATAAATAATACGTGATTAAATGGCCATGATTGCACTTGTCGCACCAGACCTAATCAGCTGAATTATAGTTAACCAGAATCGAGCGATAAAGGTCTAAGAGTGAGCACAGTAAAATGAAATACTTATAGATAAGCTGAAAACTAAAGAGATGGAAAACTTATTAATTTCTAGACCAAAACTTTCATTTCAATGGATTGCTTATAAGGAAGCTAAATTGTAGTTATTCAGAATAGAGATATAAGGGTAGACGATTAGATATAATCAGACATTTACGATATTCGTAGTGCCTAATAACATTTATTAAATAACTGTAGCATGAACAATCCATGCAAATTCTATTTTTAATGGAAAGCTCAAATTTACCGTCTAATAAGAAAATACAAAAGTTATTTCAACAGTCGACCTTTCGAGTATACTTCAAACTGAATAGACTTTTGATATACTCTTGTGATATTTGATACATTAGAGGTTCGTCGGCCTTACGGTTGATATATGATATATGAGACTTTTATGGATTCCACTTTGTTCAGTTATGTATGACGTGCAATTAAGGTCTGTACAATTAATCAAAGGAATAAGTAATATAAATTGACATATTAAGAGTATGCAAATATCGTATATATGTATATGTGCATATCTATATCTAATCTCGCATTAGAAACTATATAGTCTTAGACTCCGAACTCTGAAGGTCAACTACCTTTTAGTTCAAATTCTATTGCCTCAAAAGAAGAAAAGAGTAAAGTAGTAAATATTTAAGAGTTCTATATGGTATATTAGCGTAAACTTTAAATACAATTAGTTAGGTATAAAACCGTAAACTGTAAACCAAATTAGTCAAAGTCTATACAAATAACTTAAGAAAACAATATATTATTTAAAAGTAGCCATAGCCAAGAAAAATAGAACGAATTAGAGATAATATATATATATATATATATATATATATATATATATGAATGTAAATTTTATATACATCAAATATAGCATGAGTCAACAACAGATCAGGGATTTGTTAGGGTTTATAAGACCTTATCTTTAATATGCAAAGCAAATATATGTCGAATCTGAAGTTTTTATGGGTAACTAAGGTGTTTTTCTTTATAGAGTATTTTTGCCTGGGTAGAAGTTCAGCTATGCTGAAACTGAACTGGAATGGGATTTACCTTAGCGCAAGTGTTTTTTGTATATTATAAATTAAAATAGCAATGCGAAAATGTTTAGCTAATTTATGGTGAGTAATAATTGGCAAAGTTAGCAATAAACGAACTCTTCGCGTGTTTCTAGAGAATTTTAAGAAGCTATATAATATATAATATATATAGTATATATGTATTTGTGTGATGATAAGCATCGGAATAACTTACCTGAAAGCTGGCTATGTCGCAGAGGCCGCTGTTTTGGAGCGCGGGCTGATTCGAGATGCGCATCTTCCAGCCGAGCTCCATGACCCGTTTGGCAATGAAGAAATCCTCGGCCAGGTAACAGCCGAAGGTGCGCAGTCCGCCCAGCTGATCGATGACCGCCTTGCGCAGCAGACAAGACATGCCCGTGTGGCAATTGATGCCCAGCACATCGGCTGACAGGTAAATCCTGGACTGCACCGTGCCAAAGAACACTTTTTCGAAGGTGGCCGCAAATCCTTCCCGGTCGCTGGTGAAGGGCATTTGATGGACGAGCGCATGTCGCTCGGACATGTTCTGCACCATGTCCAGCAGCGTGTCGTTCTTCATTTTGATGCCGCTGTCTGAGATCATGACAAAGTCATATTTGGCTGCCATGTAGCCAGGATGGATATTGTTAATTTTGGGATTGACACCCACATTGGAGCCACCCACGAAGAGCTGGGCATCAATCTGGGGATACTTTTCGATCAGTTGCTCCACCAGCTTGATAGCCGGATCGTGTTTGTCCTCCACACAAAACAATAGCTCGTACAGCGGATAGTCCATGGTGAAGAATGTTTCCAGATTATGTTGCAAATTCGGATCCACGCCCATCAATGGCTTCAGTATGGAAACACCCGGCAGCGGGGAGGACTCTGTGGGCAGCTTGCACAACTTCTTGTGCAATTTGTATTTGCCATAGCAGATCGCGATTAAATGTACGCACCATGTACCGAACCAAAAAATCATAAAACATGCTGCGAAGCCATACACTGCCAGTGGCGAATGTGACATTGTGTGTGTCTCTGTGTGTGTACGCGCGTGTGGCTTTGTCTGTGTGTTTGTGTTTGTGGTGTTGGGTGTTGTAGGAGGCGCTGTCTGGCCCGTGTGTGCGTAAACTAATCTGCGTGCGAGTATGTGTCTGTGTCTATGTATGTGTGTGCGTGTAGTGGATGGATGTCACTGCGGTTTAATTGGTATACATCTGTACGTGCCGCTGCTCTTGTTAACGCCTTTCGCCTTTGTGGGGGGAGGCAGAGTAGCAGCAAATGCTAAAATGAGTCCCGCTGCCGGACTTTATCTCGTTCCCGTATATCTGCCTTTGTCGTTCGCCGTGGCTGAGTCAGCATGCCCCGCACACACAGTCAACAATTGGTTGCGTTGTTGACTATTTAACTTTAACACTATGTCGTCATAGGCGTTTCATGGATTATTTTTCTTTTTTCGCTAATTGATCACTAATTTGCGCGTGATAAACATCTCGAAGTCTTCGCGTCGCGTTCCATGTCCAAATAAAAACTGCAGTGAAGAATAGGGAACGCGGAAGTGAAAATATGCCAAAAATGCACCAAGTTACTGTATGTAAAAAAATACCGAATAAATTCGACTTTGCACTAAATAATACCATTATTAATTGAAGTCTTTTATAGAATTATTTACTATAAGCGTAAAATAATTAAATTTAAATTTAAAACGAATAAAGAAATATAATAATAATAACAGCAATAAATAAATATAGTCTTAAATGTTATGAAATCATATTTTTATATCTTGTTTTTTATTTTTATTTTTCAAATCAGCAGTGTTTTGCTTGAGCAGCATATTTTCCTCACCTTGTTTGATAGTTTGGTCACACTGCATAGCGCAAAGAGACATGCATATAAATAAAACAATATATATAATGTTCAATAATCATCTCAATTTAATTTAAAATATGTAAGTAGGCTTTCAATATCTTAAAGACAAATTTGGAAATTAAAAATGAAAGCCTAAAAACACAAAAATTTTAAGTTAAATTAGACGAAGATGGAGCCCGCGGGGGAGGAGTGCATCCTGAAAGATAGAGCGGTAGATCAAAAAACTGATGGCCAACAAAATATTACCAAAGTGCTGAAGTCGGATTTTGATGCCAAATACAATATTCTCGATATCTCTACTCCGCTAAATAATTTCTTGTCCGCCCACTATAAGCGCAGCTACGCTTATTATTCTCTACTCAATATCCTTCCCGTTGTGCTGACGAAAGTGATTGACTCAATTACAAAGGACAAGAACGAAATAGTCACACAATTTGGTGAGGTGTGTATTAAGTTAAAGCTGTTGTTCCCTAATCATAATATACAGCGCCCACAACATTTGTGCAGAATGCGCGTGAGGAGCTGAAGATCATCATTGGACTTATTTCGCGGCTCAAGTATGAGCTACAAACGGACAAACCCTTCCAAAACTTTACTGGCGATGGCAAGTATTGGTTTTTCTCAAATGCCAGTTATCGACTGCTATATCGAATCGCCTAGCTCATTTTTTTATCCCCGCTCGCAGAGCCAGATCGTGAATCATGGAATACCTTTATGGCAGATCTTCCAGCCAAAGCAAATTCGTTCTATCAGGCATGCATGATGCATACGGAGTGCTATATGTATCGCAAGCTCTACTCCTTCGTGGAAAACAGCATATTTCTGAAACAGTTCGATTACTTTGCCAAGATCAAGCAGGACACACTGAATAGCTGCCAGGCTGATATAGTTACATTGGCCAAATACACAAGGCGCACAGAGAATACATTTGACGTATTTAATGAACTTTTAAAAATTAACCTGTGGAGCACCCGCAATGATCTCTCCAAAAACGAAAATGGACTCTCGTTCAACATGAATGTGTTGGAGGATGTGACGGCAACCGATAGCCATATTCTCATCAACGAAGCCTTCGAAATCTGGCAGTGTTTGAATATCCGTAGATCGAAAAAACAATGTGTCGACTTTGTATTGGCCGATGTTGGTTACGAGCTCTTCGCCGACTTTATTTTAGCCGAATATATCATCGAAAAGGGATTCGCGGCGAAGGTACGATTCCATGCTAAGGCTTGCCCTTGGTTTGTTACCAATACAACCCGACGGGATTTTGAAATGACGCTACAATATCTGAGCAAACACTCCGACTATAACCTCAGTCTGGTGGGCAATAAGTTTTTGCAATTTATGGATGAGGGTAAATTTGAACTGGCACCCGTTTCAACTTTTTGGACCGGCCCGCATCCCTTTCATTGGTGAGCTCATAGTCACATTATTTGGTTTCATAACTTAATGCGATTTATATGTTTAGCATGAAAACCGTGGACCCAAAGCTATATAAATTAGTGCAACACTCAAAGCTAATCATCTTTAAAGGTGATGTGAACTATCGCAAGCTCTTGAGCGATGTTAGCTGGCAGTCGACACAGGATATGAAAACCTGCTCTGGCGCAGTTGTACCCAATAGTTTTTGCACAATACGCACAGCCAAGTCGGAAATAATATGCGGTCTACCGGAGGGCACATATGAAAGACTTCAATCGATTGACTCCGATTGGATGGTTTCTGGAAGTTATGGAACCATACAATTTGTGCTTGGCACTGGAGAATATGGCTACTAATCTCTGTATTAAAACCTGTATATCAAACTGTTTTTAATTTATGTTACATCAATAATTACATCTAAAAAGTCACACATTTCTTTTAATACAGGGATTTGGTAGCATACACTAATTTTAAGAAATCAGTCTTAAGCTTAGCAGAGCGGCAAATATGCAAATGTTGTTAAGTTGGCCATAATTTTTTTAAGTGCATGATCAGCTGTTTATCAGCTGCTTCGAAACATTGTAGACATAAAGGAGACACATTTCCGATATTTTATTCCATGAACTGAATCATCCATCTTTAATAAATTTGACTGTTAATGCTATCGATAAAAACTATCGAGTCTAAACCATCTCTGGCGATTGACTTCCAAAGTAACTTGCATTCATGTTGTCTACATTCAAGGCGCCAACACAAATAAATACGTTGTACTTTGTAGCAGTTACATTATTGTTGATCCCAATCAAGTCCCAACTTGCACACAGCAAACAATAAATATGGCCTTAGTGGAAGACAATGCTGACTTCGATGCTGCAAATGGAATTATTGATAGTGAAACACCTCCACACACAGATCTAGCCGCCCAATACAAGCGGTAAGTTAACGCTATATATAGCATATCGAAATTTCCCATACGCATGTGATTATATGCATATATATGTATGTAGAATGCATACCTATATGTATATACATATGTATGCATGCATATATGATAAGCATGTATGGAGGAGCACTGATGTAATTTGATTTGCTGACCTCTAAATGCGACCCTCTCTTGTAGGAGCTTCGCCTATTACACGTTTCGCGTGCGTCTTCCATCAACGCTGGCTACGATTGCCAATTCCCTGGCAAATAAGGATGAGCTGCTGCCCACATATGGAGCCGTGAGTTAGCATTAGATTACGTAATTCCCAAATAAACAACTATGATTTGTTTTTATAGGATGCAGTTTCAGATATTGATCAAACAGCTGCAGCTGTGCTCGAGCTACGTTCGAATATTCTGAAAAATGGGCCGTTGGAGCCATTTAAGGATACAGGTATGGAAGAGCAGACCATGAGCTTAAGAATTAATTGAGAATAATTGAGAAAAATGTATATACACATATACCCATTTCTTTTCTTATGATAATGTAATGAGCACAAGGCTTGTAAGTCTAGCGATATCATTTAATTGATAAATAGGTGTAATATATAGAGATTTAAGTCTATAAGATGTAAGTCTGTATAAATACTTATTAACGAATCATCAAGAGGCCATGCTTTCTGAAGAGCTATTTCTAGAACATGCTCCATTTCTTCATCACAATCTATAATTATATTTATAGACATATACATATATTGATCTCCCACATCAGTTCTTAAATAGTTTCATTTATATTTAACTTCATCTCTAGATAGCGCTTTCTGGAACATGCTCCATTTCATCAACAGCTATAATTAAAGTTTTATGAATACATTTATATATATATATATATCTGTTCTTTGTGAAGAGTGCATATAATTTCATTAATAATCAAGTTAATCTATAAAATAGAAATATTATATACTCATAAAAACTCTCTTCCCTTTCAGAGGCCGATGTTGCCACATGGAATGCATTTCTGGAGAAGTTGGACAAGGATAAGCGCACTTACTTCAGCGCCTGTTGGCTCTATGCAGAGTGCTATATGTATCGCAAATTGTGGTCTATATTCAGCTTATCGCGCCTCGCCGGCTTCGATTACTTTCGCAAACAGAAGCAAACGGCGGCACAGCTCAGCCTGGATGCGATGGTGGCCGTTGCGAATGCCACGCGACGCAGTGAACGCAATTTGAGCACATTTCAGCAGTTGGTGAAGCTGAACCTGTGGGGCAATCGCTGTGATCTGTCGATTACGTCTGGCAAACAGGTGAAGCCAACGGGAGATGCTTTCGATCAAGTTGCCGAGCTGGATAGCAATTTACTGGTGGATGGCACCCAGGCCATTTGGCAATCTCTGGACAGCGCCGACGGCAATGGCACTGTGGAGATTGTCTTCGATAATGCCGGCTATGAACTCTACACAGATCTCATACTGGCCGAGTATATCATCGACAAGGGATTGGCGCAAAAGGTGCGCTTCAATGCCAAGGCCATTCCCTGGTTCATATCGGATGTGCGGGCCGAAGACTTACACTGGATTCTGGAGTTCCTCAGCGGCCAGGCGTCGCCTGTGCTCAGCGAACTGGGCAAGAAGCTGAAACGTTTCGTCGACGAGGGCAAATTCGAGCTGGCACCACTGGAGCACTTTTGGACCAGTCCCTATGAGTTCTATCGCATGGCCGAAGTGCAGCCGGCGCTGCACGAACGACTCTCACAGGCGCAGCTGATCATATTCAAGGGCGATCTCAACTATCGCAAGCTGCTGGGCGACTACAGCTGGCACGACACCGAATCCTTCGTAACCTGTTTGCGCGGTAAGTGAACTTTGAATGGAATAAAATATGAATTTCAAATTGATCTTCGCTTCTGCAGGCTTCAAACCCTCAAACCTTTGCACACTGCGCACCATCAAAGCGGACTTGGTTTGTGGACTACCCGCTGGCATATCCGAGCAATTGTTTGCCAAGAACAAGGAATGGATGCTCACGGGCGAATATGGACTCATTCAATTTGCCAGCAAGTGAACAGGATTCAGTTATCCATGGCAATAGCTCAAATGTTGCGTAGGCGTAGCTAAATTATTCAATTCGTGTTGTTAATGTTTATCAAATGCTAAATTATTTTAATCAAATTAGTAAAACTGTTTAAATTTTTGTACTCGCGTAACTTTTGCAGCATGCTGAACAATCAATTCCTTTATGTTAATTATTTTTGTTCAACTCAATTCTTGGCTTGTAAGCAATGTGTAAACTTTAATGTATGTAATTTTAAGTACAATAATGCTCCAATATATCTGCATGCATGTGTTTCCTCCAATAGTACAATATAAATACTCATTTTCTCTTCAATTAAAACAAAAACATTTACATTAATTATTGTGACAATAGCTTAAAAATAGTCAAGTGCTAATTGATAAACAAGTTTCTTATAATTTGATGAAGATATATATGAAAATATATGTATGTATATATTTATATATAATATATCATATATGACTGAGCACTAAATGTTGGACGAAATGAACTTTAGTTTTTTGTCTGACTAAAAATAGCAAAGGCAAAAAAAAAAAAAAATCTATAAATTATTTAAAATTGTTAAATAGTTACATTACAAGAAATTAAAATTAAGATGAATATTCTCTAGTTCTGAGGCAAATGGAAATGAATGAAAAAGAAGAGCTTAATGGGGCTTTAAGCCCACTTTTAGAAACATTAATAATATATTTATACAGTTATAGTTAAATATATTTCTAAATTCGAAATTCATTTTGGAAAACTTTGTCAAAATTGTGTTAGGCTAAAAAAAAAAAAGAATACAAAAAGAAAGACCCATGTCTAAAGCTGAACTGAGATCATGCTGGACGATGTGTCGATTACAATTGCCGATTCCCTTTCGGGCGAGTCCTTCTCCACGGCCCACAGCAAGGGAACAATATCGAGCTACGCCAGCAGCTTTGACGAAGCGAACAATATATCGGAGCTGCCGGCGCCGCTGCGTGAGCCGCTGTCGGCGAAATATAAGCACAGCTTCGCCTATGCCACATTCAAGGAACGCGTGCCCAAAATCCTGTTGGATCTGATCGACTCGCTGCAAAAGCAGGAGGATCGGATTATCGAGAAGTATGGCTCGTATGCGCACTTCGAGCTGCGTCGCATCATCTGGAGCCTGAATATCTTGCGCACCGAGGTGCTGGAGAACAAGCCGTTCAAGTACTTCTATGACAAAACGCCCGACTCCTTGGAGTGGAACAGCTTCATCAAGCACCTGACGAATCGCGAGAGGAATCAGTGGTTTTCGGCCCAATGGCTGCACGCCGAGTGCTACCTGTACCGTCGCATCTGGAGGGCCTTCCAGCGCTCCGAGCTACTCAAGGACTTTGACTACTTTGGCCAGAAGAAGATTTGCTCCGCCCGCAACCTTGTCTATCTGTTTCGCGCCGTCCTGAAGGGCGTGAGTAAGCTGAAGCGCAGCCGCAAGGATTTTGTGACGATGCTGAAGCTGTCGCTGTGGGCCAATCGCTGTGACCTCTCCATCACCAGCGACAGTCCCTCGGACCAAATTATGCAGACCCTCAAGCAGTACAACAGGCACTTGCTGGTGGATCAGTCGATTGAGGTTTATCGCTTGCTAACCCGCGACCTCCACTCCTCCGTCACGCCTGCCATGGTCGACATCATCCTGGACAATGCTGGCTTCGAGCTCTTCGCCGATCTCCTGCTGGGCGTCTACCTGATCGATACGAGACTGGCGGTCAGGGTGCGCTACCATGTGAAGGCCATTCCGTATTATGTATCGGACGTGACGGCCAACGATTTCAACTGGATGCTAAATTTCTTGCTGAACAGCGAGATCCCCGAGTTTGCCCACCTGGGCCGCAAGCTGCGCTATTTCATGAAACACGACATCTTCGCGCTCTACGAGACCTGCAAGTTCTGGACACGCCCGGAGGGCTTTCGTTGCATGCGCCAATTGGCGCCCTGCCTGTACGTCCAGCTCAGCTTCAGTGCTCTGGCCATCTTCAAGGGGGATCTCAACTATCGCAAGCTGCTGGACGACATCAACTGGAACTCCACGACTCCATTCCCCGACTGCCTTGGCGGCTTCCTGCCCACCAGCCTCTGTGCGCTGCGCTGCATTAAATCGGATCTCTACTGCGGCATGCCCAACTGCCTGGTTGACTTGCTCATGCTGGACAATCCCAAATGGATGTGCACGGGCGAAAAGGCAGTCATTCAGCTGGCTTTCAAGAAGCGACCCTAGCGCCTGGGGTCTCCAAGTTCAGTTCCTAAATATATAGACTTCGTCTTTTACATATATATCTTTATCATCAGTTCATTTCATCTCCGAGTTGGATGTACGGCAGTTCAATAAATTGTGTTTAATATTAAACATTTAACATTTGAATATTAGGATAGGAAAAGTCCCCTCTTCGACTCTCCATCCTTGAAAGCTCATCCCACTAAGTTCTGTTCCATTTCAGAGCGTTCCCTACGTATCCCAATTTATACCCATCACACTCAAAGGTAAATCAAATAAACAGTTACAGTTTCTAGTTGATCTTTTCTGAATATATCTATTGTCGTTTTATTAGTAATGCTGCTTAAAGCTAAATGTTGTAGGCCGTGTTTGGGCGATGAACATAAGTATGATATTCCATATACGCAGTATAGACACTATTATTAACTATGCATTATTAAATATGAATAGTAGAAAAATACGCTCTATGGCCATATGTATGTGTATATATATAAATATATTAAATGCTGCATTACCCCCACACCTCATACACACACGAATGGAGAGAGAGAGAGAGTGAAGGAGAGGGAGGGCATGGGGCGTGGGGCCATGCAGCATCATTTGAAACAATTCGTCGAATTTTCAAGTCTTATCAATTGCCTCTGCAGAACTCATCTCGGAATTTGCCACACGCACGCGAATATTTTGCAGGCTATTCTCACATTATGAACTGTCGATCTATCATCGCCAGCTACGTAATATTAATTGTTTATTAAAAGTCGGTAACTAAGTGCAATTTGTTTTTGTATGTTTTCTTTCTGTTTTTGTTTTCATTGGATATCGCTTGGAGGGAGTTCTCGCTCGATCGCTGGCTCACAATATACAATTGGGATTCAGCGTCTGATATGGCGTCAGATCCTTGGTGATGGAGAAGAGTGCACCATCTCTGACCATTTTGTACATGAGTGCGCCCAGATTCTTGGCATCATCGATGCCAGAATGCGCACGTCCCTCGAACGCCAAGCCCACGTGCGAGAGGGCATCACTGAAGTTGCACGGCCGGTACTTGTACCACTCCCGGTAAATGGCGCGCACATCGACCCACTGATTGAAATAGGGCGCCTTGCGCATGCGCTTGCGCGTGCACTCCTTGTGCAGGCAGATGCCAAAGTCCCAGTCCGTCCAGGTGACAAAGGCGCAGTTGCCCAGCAGATTTGATTTGCTCGTCTTGGGCAGTATCAGATTCCGGGAGCGCAGCTCCTTGCGCAGCCACTCGTGGAACATCATCAGCGCCGTCTGCAGCGGCACGCCCGTGTCCACAGTCTTCTGCTCGATGCCCGTCAGCTCCGTGCAGTAGGTGCTCAGACGTGGCGACTCAATTGGCATGACATACTTGTGGAACTCCGACTCAATCTTGCCCGTCTTCAAATTGACGAGCACCGCTGGAAACTCTGCGAGACAACTAACAATTAGCATGGGATCGATTTTTAGATAGATCAGCTGCCACCACTCACCTATAATCTCGGCTTCGCGCCACTGTGGCGGCGCCTGTTTCTCCCAACACGTGGCCTCAAAATCAACGGCAATCACATGGCTGAATGGCTGCATCGCAAACTGTTTCGATTTGCGTGATTTTTTTGTCTTGACTCCGGCCGAGGCTGTGGCTGTTGTGGCTGCCGATCCAGTGTCTCCGGCGATTCCGTTGATGCTGATATCGGCTTCGTTCTGCAGTTCATCCAAGGCGTTGGCTGGATCTGGTCGTCCGCCCTCCACATACAACGTGTCGATCAGGCCCAGTTGTCTGCCGTAGCCAAACCAAAGTGGATAGAAGAAGGGGATGAGGGAGAGATAAACGTTAGCTTAATATATCTGTAAATGTTTACTGATTTCTGTCTTTTTTTTTTTTTTTTTTTTTTTTTTTTTTTGCAATTTTTTATTATGTATTTTTTTTAGAAAAATATATAGGAAATATTATGTGGAATCTTGGCAACTTGTAGTTACAGTCTAGTACTGACATTCCACAAACAAATCCTGCTCGACTCTCGTACAAAGCCAATGAAGCTGCTACTGCGATTACAAATTAGAAATCAACAAATTACGCTCGACATTGAGAACTTTTGGAACGCACCTCGCTTTGCGCTCTACTTCATTAGATATTGAATTAAATTAATAGTAAATATGCTAAGTACATTTAGGACTCTATATATTTCTTTTAGATTACTTTGACTTTACTTTGATCTACATTGAGAAATTTGAGAGTATTTTTAACAAACATTTCATTTCATTAATATTTACATTTCATTTTAATATGCAAATATTTATAAATATATTTAAACAAAAATATTTCATCAGTCTTTCACAGCTTTATATGATTTACGAATATTTAATATGTAAACTAACTAAATATAACAACCAATTTAAATTCCTAATCACTCTTTGGAATGCAATTCAATCAAGTTTGTTGCTTTTTCTACAGCTGTTGCTGCTGCTGCTGCTGCGCCTGCTGCTTTCCATAGCACACGATCATGGGCTTCTGCTGCCAGAGCAGACCATTCGTTTCACTCAATGCCTTGGCCACCACCGCCGCCAGTGCCTCTGCCGACGCCCCATCCGAATCCAGCTGCTTAAATGTGACGAATGCTTGTCCCTTCATGCGACCCTGTTGCATGACCTTGATATCCAGACTCTCGGCCGGCGCATAGCGTGCATAGAGAGCGCTCAGCTGCGACTCTGTGATGCTCTTGTCGAGGTTCTTGATGTACAGCTTATTGCTCGGCTCGCCCACTTTGTAGTTCTTGTAGACGGGTAGCTCTTGCAGCTGCTCAGCAGACAAACGCTCCTCGGGCAGCTGAGCGGCAACGGGCAGCACTGTCGGCAGTTTCAACTCTATTTTACGTAGGAGTGGAGCGATGGGCACATTAGCATTCTCTTCTTCTCTCTTCGTTTTGACTGCCGCCGACTTCTCCAATTGCAGCGCTTGCCGTGCACGCTTACGATATTGCTCCAATACTGAACTATCGGCAGGTCTCTTTCCTCTTAGCTTCGGCTGCTGATTAGCTTGATTGTGCTCCTGTTCCTTGTCACTCTCCAGCTCGCTCTCCGTTTCACTCTCAATCGTTTCGGTTTGAGTGGCGACGTCTTCTGACTGCTTGGGCGGCAATATAATGCCCTTGGGTCGCTCTCCAAATGGCGGCGGTAAATTCATGCGATTCATTAGGTGCAGCACTTGCACATAGAAGCGCTTATCGCTCTTCAGTGTCTCACCGATGGCACTAAGAATTTCGGCATTGATGGGCGGATAGGCGTAGCGTAGATATGGCGGTGGCGGCTGCATAAAGTCAAATTGATTATTGCAGGCATACAACTTTTGCACATACTTGTTGATTTCGGCATTCGAAGTGGAGTCCTGCTTCAGTTGGGCCGGCGTTGTCGCCTGCGTTGATTTGCTGGTGGTTTTCGGCTTGGTGCCGTCGGCGGCATTGGCACGCGGTCCAAAGTTGCTGACGCGAAGCGGCTTGTCCAGTATTTCGCTGAGCCCCAACAGCTGTTTCAGGGCGTTCTGCGCCTCCTCGACATCAGCATATTCAATAAGCGCACGCTTGCGACCAAAAGCGTTGAGTGACCGCGGTATAATCAGTTTTAGTTCCTGTATTAGTTGCGAAAATTCGCTCATGCTACAGGGCATGTTTTTTAGCAACAATTTGCTCGTCTCTGTGCACATTTTTCTTATAAACTTCAATTACAACTAAAATGTGCTACAAAAGCCTTTGAGTTATCGATTCAAAGGCGATAACTTTTACTCAAATGAAAATGTTATTCAGAGTATGACCATTTTGTGTGGAGAGCTTTATTTTTTAACAGAGGAGCACACATGTTATGTATTTATGCTGTTTGGTGTGACCAATCGCAATTTTTACGCCTTAGCGCATTTTTTAAATTTATACATATATAAAATTTTAGTGCAATTAGTTTGGTCGATATGCTTGCAATGCACTCGCATTACTGCTCAAAGAGATAAGCTGTAGTTACGTTTAAGCATTTAACTTTCACTATTAGTAATCAATGGCTTTTGACAACATTAACTCGTTTGACAGCTTTTGACCGGCTAACTAGCCCTGACCGGTTTTGTTTACCAGCGTAAATGCAACAAAGTCAAAACAAAAACATATTATACAACAAATATATTTATATATGTATGACCCATGCACATGTTAGTAAATCTTGATTACGTGCATTCAAATGTGTAAATCGCGTGCAATCACAATTCTGGGTGTGTACACTGTAATCGCAAATGCAAGGTCAACAAACAATTAATAAAGATAAATAAAGGGAATCTTAAAGAAAAAAAAAATAAATAAAGACAAAAACAAAGATTAAGCTTGTCAGTTTGCGTCTTTTGCAAGAGTCATTGCACTTTCATTATGTAAATTGAAAGAATTTATGAATATAACAAATGCCTGACACAAACCGTTATGTTTTTGATATACGGAACACACACACATATAGCCTAACACAATGGCTTTGTGAAAAGAGATCAACACACACGCACGCACACAGCCTGCAAAAACACTCAAAAGTCAGATTGCATAAAACTTGCAATGATTGAGCGGACAACAGAAACAACAACAACAACAACAACAACAATGACAAAGTCGACGACACACTCTCACTTTCGTTCGGCCAGGCAGCTGCTGGCTGGTCGTGGGAGGAGTGGAAGCGCACACTAACGATGTCCACTGCAAATGCGGAAGCAGAGATATACTTAGTCCGGCAAACATGCAAAAATTGGATTAATGAACTCACTCACTCAGTCACTCTCACTCTCTTTTTATCTGTCTCTCTATTCACAACAATGCAGTGAGTGGAATTGATCGTTGCCATTCCAAGCAGCTGGAAGGGGTAATGCAGCTATATTTAGATAATGGAACGGCTGGAAAGAGCATTGTCCTAATGGAGAGTTAATTGTAAATAAAATTATAGCACTTACCAGCGCTCTAGCTCTGTCTCTCTCTCTCTCTCTCTTTAGCTCAGCACAGGCATAAGTTAGAACGGCAATGCAATGAGTGGAATTGTTTTTCTAGCATTTGAGTTATTGCAACTATTTTTAGAATATGTAGGGCTGGAGTAGTAGTAAACTGCATTGGTTAAATGGAATGTGAATGGTTAGACAAATTGCTCTCGCGCTCTCTTTGTCTCTCTAATTTTAAAAGAGGAGTGCTATGCCAGCAGTGAAATTGCGCCTTGGCATGTCAAGCGGCGCTTAAGGATTAAAGCACAGTAACTTTAGAAAATGTTACTTACACAAAGTAAGAGCAAATTGCAAATCTGTTTAACTAAATTTCAATATGTGAACAATTGAATTCAAGCTACAATAATTTGCTGTAGAAGTGAAGGTCTTGTTATATGCATTTTAAATTTAATTAATGACTAATGGTCATCTGAAAATTCCCAAAAAAAAAGAGAACTAGCAAATTGAGTAATCCAGGGAAACCCCTATGACTATAATTTTTTCTTACTTTCAAATCTCGAGTCTCCAACGAGCATTGCTTAGTGCTAATATACTCTTTTCACTTCATTCAAAGCGAGCAACTAAATTGGTTTTCTATGATTCATTGGACATTAAAGATAATCGACTATCCATATAGACTTTAAGCCACTTTGTGAATGGCCAAAGTGCAACAGGTTGAGCTTAGACGTGTTCTGAAAAGTATTTTTATTGTTTACGGTTATATTACGTGATGTCGACAAGCCCCCTAAAAAAAGTGAATATTATTTCTGTTTTTGTTATTTATGTCAATCAAATGGGCGGCTCGTGCCGCTAACAATGCGTGCCTCAGGTACTCAGCATGTGCGACTCTCCACTAATTATCTGGCAAACACAATGTCAATGGGCCTCAACTCGATAGCCGAGCACACGGTAGTTGACATTTCGTTGACGGCGGCTCACATGCACTAAATATATAATAACTGTATTTAAATAGAGCTTTTCTATATTATTAGTTAGGGAAGGTAGTTATTAGGCTTTTGAAACTGGAGGCTGTTCACGATTTATTATAATTGTCAATGTTATACGAAAATGTTGAAAACTTTTTGGGGTGGGTCTTAAAATTCTTAATAGTATTTGCAGTGCCATCTAAATCTTAGCTATTTCTAAGAATGTATGGGTAATGGAAGTTTAGTGTAATATATTTTTGTTAGAATATATTGATCCTAAACATAATGTTCTGCATCTGAATCATCTGAGTTAAACATAAAGGGATCAAAGCATCTATAGTAAATTCAATATAACTTTTCCGTTATTTATCTAAGCTTTTCTCTTTTGAAGCTAGAACTCTCAATGTAGTACCCGAAACTTTTCTACCCTTTAAAGTTGAGCTTTATCAACGAGAATTAAACATTAGTAAACCATTTAATGCAAGGATCTAAGCATTATATGATTGTATATATCTCTTAATTAGGCATACCTAGATGCACTTGGCTTCTCTACTTATTCCAACTCATGCCATTTACATGCTCGAAATATCGTTCAGTTTGCAATATATTAAGTTAGCCGTTCGACTTGAAATAAACAAACAAACATAAATAGAGAACAACAATCACTTGATTGCACTGTATATATATGCATGGGCATGCCTGTGAACAGCATGTGCAAGTCGATAAAAGTGCACAAACAAATTGTATAAGCGGTGTAGGCTGCCAAAAATAGCGAAATTGACTGAATCAATCAATGAACTTCAAGTCTGAAGAGTGGGAGACAAGAGGCTATCAATAAGCTTTATATAGTATATATGTATGTATATG